AAACTGCTCAGATCCCTCAGCTTCTCCCCTAGCACTACTGGCTCTTGCACCAAAACAGCATAAAAAACCCCTTTTCAGATACAGAGGCAGGAAAAATCACATTTCCAGTGACAATGAAAAATTCAAGGGTCCCTGCACCATATTTCTGCTCTTAATTTCAGCTCTGAAGACAGACAGATTTGAAAGACCAGCCATCTGGCAAATAATCAATCTTCTACAGGGACTCTTGTTTTAATTATGAAGACGCAAGTAACTGAGATCACGAGTTGATTAAAAGTTGCCAGGGACTGTGCCTATTAATACATTTCACAAGAGAGCTGCTTTACTTGATGTGCTCTTGGTGGCCGGACCCATTCACGGTTTTAGCTCCCCAGCGCTGTTCTTTCTCACTCACATCGTTCTGTGAAGGACACACGTAAAAAGAGAGTTAAAACCCCAAAGGAATCACCAGTCACACACATTTCAGAGCCCACAGCAAAAGCTTCCAGCAGTCACTGAGACCACAAGTGTTGGAAAAGCAGCTTCACTTCCCCTCCACTCCAGGGACATGCTCCTGACAGCTCATTTGGCCAAGACACGTCTCCCACCCCGCAGAGCTCCTTTGGAACTGCCCCAGAACAAGTTCCTGGTGGATCAGTAAACCCCAAAAGCCATACCACAAAGTCTGGATCTGTCTCCCAGTCATCAGCTCCATCATCCTGGCTGACAGACACGGTGTGGCCTGCAGTAGCCTTCCACATCTGCAACACCAGCAGGAGAAGCAGGGTCACTCTCCACTCACCTGCCAGCTCATTTGATTCGTGCAGGAGCTGACAGAGGAGACGCAATCCAAAATTCCCAATAAAGTATGTTATTTAACCGCATCACCAAAAGCTGTGCTTGCAGTGAAAACAGGTTTGACCACTGGAGCCCAGGCTGTCTTCTCAAGCTGGCTTACAAACCTGTTTAACTCTCCCATCTGCACTGTAAAAAGATTAGGAGCAATTGCTGTTTCAAGAGAACAAAGTCACCTTTCTTTGCTCAAATTAATGAGTGCCTTTTGTGCAGTCACTGCACTCAAAGACTTCTGCTCACACAGGTTTCCAAGCCAACATGCACTTTCAAAGACTGCTGCTAATTCTGGATCCTGTGCATACAATTAAGGTGCAGGAATAGGTGATTTTTTCCCCCCCAGGCATTAAAAACGGTGAGCACAACATTGTTCTTCACCTGCATTACACCTGCACAACCTCCTCTGCCGTGCAGGGAGTTCCAGCACTGCGACAGAAATCCCAACAACTCTAAGAATTTGCACACAACCCAGAAACTGCTCCAACAACAACAGAGAACAGGAGTGTCTGTGCTCCTCAGGTAATCCCCAGTGAGACACGGTGCTCACAAACTCAGCACCTTGTCTGGCTTTCAGGAGAAACAGAGGGTGACTGCAGACTCATTAAAAAAGCAAACAATGAGTTCTAGAAACAACATCCAGCACTTTCAAGAGGTTAATGATTTGGGGCCTCTTAGTTTCTGGAAACTTTATTCCCTGTGAATTATCAAGTTGGATGCTTTTAATTAACAGTTCAGCTAGTTCGCAGAATTCCTGATCTTCCTGGTGCTGGTGGCTGGATTTTACACCCTTTATTCTACATAAATCAAAACAAACACATTCTAGAAAGCAAAACTGAAACATCAAACTACAAGCTGCCTTTTCTCCCAGCTTTTTCAGAACACACTTCAGAGACATGATTTTTTCTTTGCTACTCAACTAGAGTTCAGTTTTTTAACATAACAGTATTCTGTCCACTTACCTTTATCCTTCCAATTAAGAACAGATTACAAAGATAATTATCATAGGCTATTTAATTCACACAAGCATAATTCAGTGGGCGGGATGAAAACTCATTCCCTCTTCAATGCATAGCTAATACTCCCTGGGTAAAGTCCACAGCTCGTTCTGTCAGGCTCGTTCTGCAGCCTGGCAGAACGAGCTGATGAGCCACTTTGATGGAGCATTTCAGATATTTCAGGACTGGTAACATGAGTGAGAAGAGCTGGAAAACTGACAGTCAAACACCAGGGTAGCAAATGCTGGAGTAGCTGGGAAGGAGGCTGTAAAAGCAGAGCAGGTGACATATTAACAGTATTAGCACATTTCCTCTCATGTTTTTTCAGGTCTCCCATCTCCAAATTCCTCTGGCAGTTAAGGAACTAACCTTTATAATAGTACCTCATATCCAAAAAACTTCTGAGACTGTGAACCTTTAGAACACAGGTGGTTTAACGTCGTCCTTAAAATACTCTGTCTAAAGCCTTCTCTCACATGACTGTGTCTGACTGTCCTACTCTTTCCTACTAAAATCCAATGTCTCACCAAAAATCCCTCAAAGGCCTTGGAAAGTAGAACCCAACCAGCTTTGTAATAAATGAAATTCAACATGGGTCCAAGTTCTTCCTAACTTCTCCTAAGGGACACGTTCTGTATCCATCCTGAGGTGCTCCACCATGCTGTGCAAGATGTTTGGGAATGGAATTCAAGTGATGAGAGCTGACTCAGGGGGGATGTGTATGGTGAGTTTCTATATGCTTTGTGCCAAACACAAGTACTTGTTTCTTATGTTCACTTGATTGATGTATTTTGTTCATTCAGCCGTGCTTGGACATTTCAAAGAACAAAAGCTGGATCCTTCAGTCTAGGTTTCACCGCTTCCTCCTCAAGCTCTCACAAACAATAGCGCAGGGAAGAAGGATTTCACACGCACCCCCGTGCAAAATCCAGCATCCACCACGATTCTCTCCAAATCATGCGCACAAACGCCAACATTTTTCCACAGCTCAACCCCGCACTCTGAATTCCACAAGGAGCAGAGCAGCCCCAGCGGCCGGGGCTCCCTCCCAGTCCACAGCCAGCAGGAATAAGCCTGGTTTCCGCCTGCTATTCCAGCACCGATTCCAGGGCAGAACGAGGAGAAACACGATCTATTCATGACTCACAGGCTCACGTGGTCATGATTCCTGAAGGAAGAAGCAAACGCTACGGTTCGAACACAAACCCAAGCTAAATATATGCCTCGAATGTATGCGCTGCCCGGCTCTGCTATGACTAATCGGCACACACATCATCCTACCCAGCACCTTCAGCGGCAGCCTCGGCACGTCCCCGCTGCCCGGGCCTAGGGACGAGCTCGGGCAGCAGTGCCGAGGCTCGGGGCGCAGCTGAGGGCAGCGGGGAGCAGCTCCCGGGCTGGCCGGGCCCCACGGCCTGAGCCCGGCGCCGCGGGCGGGGGCTCCGTCCTGAGCGGCTCCACCACCGTGGGGAGCCCCCGCCGCAGACGCTTCCCTTCAAGTTCCCATCTTCGGAGCTGAAATAATTTTTTTTTAAAAAGAAAAGAAAAGAAAAAAAAAAAAAAAGCCACCGAGTCGCGACGCCCCCCGGCTCTGCCCTGCGCTCCCCGGCCGTGCCCGCAGCCCGCGGCCCGGCTTCCCTTCAGCCCCGCCGCGCTTACTCTGCCCCTGCCGCCGCCTCTTCCTCGGCGCTGGCTCCCCGCCGGTGCTTCCCGGGCTGGCGGCGGCTGCTGCTGCTGCAATTTCCGCTTCTCCCGAGCTCCCACTTCCTCTTCCCGGCTCCAGGTGGGAGCGGGACGGGCTCCGCTCCGCCCCGCCGGGAGGGGCCGCGCCGGCGGCTGTGGGAACGCCGCCTCTCCCGGCCTGCGGGGCTCCGACCCGCTCCAACAATCGTAAACGCTTATTTCTGGAGCTGCTCCGTCCCCTGTTTCTTTCAGCCGCTCAAAAAATGCAGCATCAGTAGTTTTAAAATGGCCACAGGGGAGTTGCTGGTGCAGTTGTGAGCATCCTTGTTTTTTAATACTCACTTTTGCACCGTCATGTTTTGGAAGTCGCATGTACTCCGTCCCCAGGGGTTTTCATCGCTTTTTATCAGTGGGCAAGAGGTTCCCCCGTGGCTGGGATCCGATCAAATGAAACGGATGCCAAAATGGAAACGAGGGGGGTTTAAAACACCGTGGAATGAGGTACTGGTTTGTTAGCGTCTTCTAAAGGAGGGGAAGGCCCTAAGGAACGCTATTTCTAGCGAATAAAACTATTACAGATAAACACACAAATTCAAGCTGTAATAGAGGGCAAGATGATAAAAAATCCAGGGGAACACAAGAAAAATTCCAAATGTAGCCAGTTCATGTCATAAATAGGTCCATTACTTTTTCCTGGATTACATGCAGTGCGATTTACCCCATAAACTCAATACAGCATATTTGAAAAGGGCTGAATTTACTCCAAAAACACTGTCTGCTAGAGGGGAATACACGTGCAGAAAACCTTAATCCTTTAGGCATTACTTCTCTGTCTTCTGTGTCTTTTTGAAGTCTTCACCTGTCCCTCCATATACAGGTAGAAATACCAGCCACATTTATATATCCTGTAAAACCAAAAGGTGCTGTCACTTCAGTTAACTACAATTGCCCTTTCCCTCCCAAGTCCCCTACTATTAAGAAACAAATTAACAAAATGTAGAATAACTTGTGCACCAAAGCTACAACCCTGACAGTGGGAAGTGAAAAACTTTCATTTTAAAGGCAAGGTGACTCTTCAGCTTCTTTTAAAAGTACCACCCCCAAACATAGAATGTCAATTTTTATTTACCTGAAATTAATTTTACTGCCCTTCCGTCTCAATCTTTAGCCTACCAAGCTCCAAAAATAAATTCTGCTTTGAACTAATTTACCTGTTCTCCAAATCTTGGCATGATAAATCACTACTGTCCACAAGACAAGACACTGCTACAGCAGTTTAAAAGACAGAGTTAAAACACCCGTTTTGAGAGTCCCTGTTCTTTAAACATGCAAAGTTCAAAGTTCACTCAGATAATTCTGAAGCACGCAGACAGGATGCATAGTTTAATTTTTACAGCGCTCTTTCCAACTGAAGCCTTTAAAGACATTTGGCAATTTACAAAACGTTGTATTTAATCAAGCATTATCTAAAGATCACTGTAACAGAGCCAGGTGCCTTTTCCACATGCGCAGTTTTCTTCCAGCAGGGTGTGTGGGAGTTACTAACATTGAGCAAGACACGTTTTTCTGGATCACTCCGGCACAGCTCTGCTGAGTAACTCAGAAGGAAGTCACCACACACAGTTTTGCCAGTTTGTGAAAGCTTTCGCCATTTCACTCATTTATTCTACCTCTCACGTCAGTTCCATTGTTCCATAACAGTTAAGGTTTTACAGCCTCAAAATAATAAACGCATTTTCTGTTCACATTTCACAAGTCTACCCCGCATTGGTTTCACTTTTGAGAAGCAACAAGACATGACTTTGAACACCTACTATCACTCACATCAGTGACCAGCAACGCCTAGGCAAGGTTTCTCTAAACAGCAAAGTAAAGTTTAGTGAACAGCGAGTCAGGATTTCCTTCTGCAGTTCCATTTTAGGGTTTTTTTTCTAGAAAGATAGATTCTCTGAGAATATAAAAGAGACTGCAAATGAACAGACAGCAACTTGTACAGACAAGCCAGACAAACAGAGATGCATCACTGAATAAGGTTTAGAGTGTCCATGGCAGTGTTTCTCCAGGCATTCCACATCCTGCTGTCGATCTGAGGACATGATGGAATATGCTTCACAACTCCTTTCATTATTCTGCAACTTTATCCCTCTGTCTTGTACTCAATGAAATGGTTTACAAATATGTCAAAATTGACATGAACAGCTCTATTGTGACCCCATTTTGCACTGGTTCCCTCAACTCCTATGTTTCTCCCCAAATATCACTATGGCCATGATTTCATTTTATTACCAAAGCAACTGTTGCTGCTGTCTAGGACAGCATTTCCATCTTCACCGTGTGGACCAGAATACACTGAAGTTGTGTGTCAGGTCTGGTTTATTATTTTAAAAAGCAAATCATAGCTCTAATGATGAGCAGAAGTAGGCAATAAAGCAGTTTTTTTCCAGAAAACTGACATTAATGCATGTGAACTTGAACAATTCCAAAGAAAATGTCACAGCTAATGGAATATTTTTGCTACTGGAGAAAGGTCATCATTTGAAACCAGATCTACAGGGCAGCAAACAATCGTTAAGATGCTTTATTGACAATATCCACTCACTGCAAAAGTTTCTGCCTGCATACAATTAGATCTTAGCTTTTCCATAGTGTTTTATTGGCAGTGGAAAATGCATCAGTACTTTATTGAAAGCAATAAATAATACTGTGATAAAAATAGTTCAAAAGTAGACTGTACATATTGTTACATAATCTGAAAATACACAAAAGATTAATAGAAAAACAGAACAGTAACAATGAATTTCAGTTTTACAAGCAAGTTAAAAGTGGAAAACAAAATAAGAAAAAAGACATGCTATATATATTGTTGCATAATAAATAATGCACCATCTGAACAGATTCTTGCTGGCTTCTTAATATGCCATTTACAAGTGTCAGATACATTTTCTACTCATACAGTCCAAAATGGCTACAACCATCCAAATTAAAAGTCCAGACAAGTCTTTAGAACAAGTTTACAAAACACATAGGATGACTTACATAAGAAAAGTAAGGCCTTTATTAGAAGATGCACTGCTTTAGTTTTCAGCCCATTGTACCTTCATCTTTCACTACTCATTTGACAGGAGGCTGCAGTGCTTTAGGATTGGTCCATTAAAACTGGTTCCACCAGCATTTTCCACCAAGTGTTTTCAAGCAAAAAGGTCTAGGACAAAAAAAAACCTCTCTGTGGCCTGTGGCTCACGACCAGGAATCATTACGAAGTCTATCTTCCTCAGGGAAGGAAAAGCAAAAATAAAAACAGTCCTCGGTTTATGGCTTGTTTTCAGTCACTGCGAAGAGTCGCTACGCAAACACAGCAGAGGGTGTTAGGACTGAGGCAATCGCTCCTACAACGCATCCCGCAGGCTGAGGAGTTCCTCCCAGCTTTTCAAACCAGTTCTACTTTAAATAAAGACAAATTGCCACTACTTGACACATCCTCTGTGTGGAAAGGTACAGCTCTGAGAAGAACAACGCTCATGTACCGTCCCCCCTACATCAACAAAGGCTCACCTGAAAAAAAGCTGGACTTGTTTTCAGATCTAAGCTAAGAGCTCCAAAAGACAAAATATATACTGCTCGGTGTCATGATACTTTTACAAAGGTATTAAAATCCTTTTCACCTTCAGTTCCATTATTAAAAAACAATGATAATTACAGTTACTGCATAATTTACAAAAACCCTATATTGCTCATAGGGACATATACATACAAGCATTACAGTACATTCAGTTGGAAAGACTAAAATTAGAATAAAAAATCAGCAATGATTTGATTTGTAGACTGAATAGAAACAGAAAAAGTAAGTAACTATATAAATGACAAGTCACATAAATATAAGAAACATTTAGATTCTAAAATATTTTCTCTATAGTACTCATGAATTTATTTGCTAATTAAAAACTCTGTAATAAAATATCTCAAAGTGTCCATTTAACAAGTATTAACAGGTTAAGGGTTCCAAATGTTCAAAATGCTGCATATCACCGGTAGAAATAGTGTGGGTAAACTGCAAAAACAACAAACAAAAACAACACACAAAAAGAGAAAAACACAGAAGATTCCATTAGCAGGTTTGAACCACCATTGCATTCCATGATTGTCACAAACAGCTCAGCAGCAGTGATGCACTGAATTACTGCCATGCCATGCTGGATATCACTTTATTGCCTCCTGCAATCTCCAGCTGCAATGCAAATAAAGCAATGAGGGCAAATGTTTCTGCCTCAAGGATTTCCATCCCACGTCATCTGACTACAGAAAATCCTGAACCAGGGAGGAGAATCTGGCGGAGAGACTTAAAACTCCAGTTCCTTGCAACTAAAAATACTTTAAAGAGAGCCCCTGAGATTATATATGCACTGACACGCTCGTGTGGTCTGAACTGCTACATGCAGGAGTTTCCTCTCTCAGCATTTCACATGTAAGAACTCTTTAGAACTCAAACTCATACATGCAAAAAGGTTCTGAATTTGAGGAAGCAAATACATGAGTTGGAAGGGATGCTACCAGTAAGAAGAAACACACTGCAAGCAGAGAAGACAAGCAATTTACAGTCCATGAAAGATACCAGTGAGGGGGAAAGATCCACTGAGTTGATTTTTTAAAATTCATTGTAGTAAAAAAAAAAAAATTGTTTTTGGGCTTGCTTGCAAAATGAGGGAAGTACTGTGCCATGAGAAAATACAGCAGAGGCTGCTGCAGAAACATTCCAGATCCTGGAGAAAGACAGGACTACAGCTTTCACAAGCCAGAATACATGAATTTTGTTACAACACATCAAGCTGCTTTTTATCAGCAGCACTGCTCCCCAAATTGAGGCTGCATGTAGCTAAATCCAAGCAGCCAGCCCAAGCAATCACAGTGGCATGGAGTGTCCAGGAACTGGGAAACTGCAATTATCCCAGTAACAATTCAGTACTGAAGCATGTTCTAGTGGGACAACTCTGACCAAGCAAAGACTTTATGAGATCAACAATCTGAGCTGCAGTGTCACACACTGGATTATTTTCTTTTCATCCCTAATTTATTCTCTGCCCCCCTCCCCACTTCCACTAGCTGTGCTTCATCCAACCTTTGATTTCAACACTTTCTACAAATCTGTTTAGCACAGGTCCTTTTTGAAGCTGTTTTAAAAACCTCACAGGAACACAGTGCTGACAAAACTTAGTATTTCAACATGCAGTCTTATTGTAAGAAATAAACTTGGGATTTCCAATATAATGACCTACCCTGAAAACCTGCACTATTTTCTAAGTGTGTAAAACCACTGTAGGAAAATCCCTGCTGTTTTATTTCATAAATAGCTGCTTCAGTGTTATTCCTATCAGCTTTACTCACCAGGAGAAGGCTTTAACAGGAGTAGGTCCTTACTGTGGCAGAATCCAATCTTTGTGTTCCTGATACACTGCCTATTCCAAGAAGCATGGGAAGACATGCGGAACATAGCATGCATGTTAGTTTTCAAAACAAAAAAAAAAAAACCCTCCACAGCAATGGTGATTACAGCTTTGGTACTCACCCAACTCTAAGGTTACAAGTTAGAAAAGCAGAATTTATTTTACAGTTTGTATATTAACCACTTCTTGTTCCACGGGCTAACAAAAAGTATTCTAAAAAAAAATGTTTGCCAACTAGCACAGAGAAATTGACAAAGGTGATTTTCTTACTTACTACTTTATGTAGTTCGTAAATGTCTAATATTTCAAAAACAAATTAGACTTATTTTCATTTACAGAATTTTCCACATGAATTTTGGTAAATATTTTGTGCTAGTGACAGTATCTAAAATTTAGAAGGGCTTACTGAGTGTAGCATCAGATGCAAGATTTGTTTTTTTGAGCTTTATGAATAAATAAGCATTTTCAGAACCTGAGGCAACTCCAACAGATTGTGTTTTCACCCTGCCTGTCCCAATAAAAAAAATTCATATTTGTTTCTGTGTGTCTTTTGTAAACTAAATTCAAGTCAAAGTTTATTCTTATGTTGCTACAGATATGGTTTTTAAACAGACAAGATCCCTCATGTGACAGATGATCAACCTCCACTTCCATTTTTGGGGTCTGCTTTTGCTGGTTTGGGTTTTTTAACTCACATCTGTGTGTGCACACCTATATCCACAGACCATTAATGAATGAACAGCAATGAATAAAACAGTGATTTCAAGTATGGTCATACTGAGGTGATCACTGCAGGGGGGGTAATTCACCTGTTACTGAAGTTTTACTCATCTCAAAATTATCTGAGGGGATTTACTCACATCATTTTTGAATGCATTTTATTGCATTTCAGAAATGGGGTTCATATTGGTCTAATTGCTGCTAATCAGAAATTATGCATCATGTGATTAAAAAACTCCTACTAAGCTGTCATTTTACTTTCCTAAATTACATTTATTTCTAGCTATGATTCTCATTTTGTTACTCCAGTGATGTAAAAAAGAAACTGCACCTCTAGTACAGCTTCCTGAAATGACAAAGCACCCTATGGTTAAACACAGTGTTATAAATACAAACATGCACGAGGCAGATGCTTTTATGCAGCAAAAAGGTCATTTGGACTTAATTCCTCTGGAATCTCAGGCAAAAAAAAAAGAACATCATGCTTAAAATTATACAAAATCAATACCATCAATCTGCATCTTCTTTGGCTGCATAGAGGGTGAAGACATTGAGGCTGTAACTCTGAAATTTGCAGGAAGAGTCTCTGCTGATCCAGCAGCTAAACCTCTTATGTCCTTTGGTCTAAACTTCTTTCTCCACGAAGGTGCTCTCCTAAAGCTCTTATCATCATCCTGTCATATTGACAAACAACATTAGTGCAAAAAGTGTGGGATTGTTACTGACATTAAAAGGATTACTGACAAACTTAAGTAAATGTATCACCACTGAAGGTAATTGTGAGGAAATAAAAAGTAAGTGTATTAAATACTGCATTGCCAAGCAGAGTTTTCCTTAAGCACTTAGGTAAATGTAATTTAATTACCCAAGTGCATTTTCCTTCCCCCATTAATATATCTGCATCTTTCAAGCAATATTTCCACCTCAGAAATACAATGCAACAATTACTAAATACAGTTTAAGTCCCACTTCCAAAAACATCTTTGGTAGAGAAAGTATTGTATCAATGCAAATATACCCACTGGGCAGCTTCATTTGCCACCTTCCCATTTAGAAGCAGTTCAATCCTTTGAATGCTGTTTTACCTCAGATTTATTCCCTTGTACAATTAGGAGACAAGTGTCTATATTGTCTGGAGAGATCTTCATGATCAAACTGCCCTGTGCCACTAGAACAGAGCAAATATCTGTTCCCTTAAAGCTCTTTTTGCAGTTTGAAATTGCCAAGGAAAATACTTTAGAAAACCATCAATGCTTTGTGATGGCTTATTAAAACCTTGGTAGAGATGCACATGGGAACACAGCTGTCAGGAGCTTCCCCTTCCTCATCCCAGCACCAATGTTTTTGAGACTGGTTTCCTGAGCTGGTTAACCACAGAATGGTTTTGTCACTTCAGCCTTAATCTGGAACACTTTTGCCTAATCCCATCAGCACCAAAGACGAGGCAGCATGGAGTTAATTAAGGCTCTCCTGGGGAAGTAACACCAGCTTGAATCTGTCCACTAAGCAACCTACAAGGTAAAAGATGGAACACTCTCTCCTCCATGCTGTGGGTGCACAGAACAGCCTAACACTTAAAGAGTTCTACACTCATTTCAATGCAGTTTGCACAGTAAGATCACAGGCTGCCCAACAGAAATTACTTTGATGTGTAAACAGACCTGGTGGTCTTCTGCACCAGTATGAATCAAAATTAACATAAAAGTTCTTAAAAACCACTCAAAGCTCTTTGAAATACTGCTCTTTAGGATAAAGTGTCTTTCTCTATCACAGCTTGTTCATTGCAATGCTGGTCACTAATTTTTCCATATTTTAGATAAAGAGGATTCAGCCCAAAGTGCTGCTATTAGACATTAACCACACGAGCTAGAAAACCAAACTTGCAAATCTTCCCAATACTTTCATATTCAAAGTCATCTTACCAAAATACACAAATCCTGCTGTATTTAGAAACCCTCAGAGACAAGGAGTTTCAAGTTAAAGTTTCTGTCACTATTCTGTCAAAAGCTTGAAGAGGTTCAGGCTAAATTCTTTCACTGAGCAGTTCTGATAAAGTTTCCAGGACCATAAAATGGGTTAACAACTCGAGTAACTTACTTCATCAAGTCTTCTATCAGTTCCCATAGCAAGGAGGTTATTGAATTCCCTCTCCAGAACAGCACGAGCCTGAAGTTTGTGGTACGAAAGAAATGGAAATTAATTCCAAAAGATTAGTAATTAGTAACCTATAATAATTTTAAAAACTTAATAGGACCCAAATTGTTTAGTGCTTTCTTATCAGATTAATAAACCTACTTCATACTTGAAAGGTCAGCACTTGAAAAGTTACAATTTAATTTGTAACTTATTAAAAATTTAAGGAAAACTCAACCGTGCTCCTCTATTTGTGATATGAAAGTTCATGACTCTGCCTCAAACTTAATTATTTCAGAGTAAAAACTAGCAAACAACAAAAATGATGAGTTTCACACTACTGTTGTGAGGATGGACTGTGAAGAAAATATTCAAACAAATTTTTTCTCAAGCAAATTTACCAATGAGAATTGTTATTAACAACTAGAAAACCATTAGAAAAGCACGATTTTAAGTTTTTGTCCTGTGTGACAATGGACAACCTTGCATCCATTTTTAACCTTCCTGGGAGGCCTAAAGTGCCTCGTCCTTGGTTACCTGTGTGTTTTGAGTGGGGATCTGCAGCAGGAGAGCTAATGCATTGTAATCAAAGGATTCATCTAAGGCCACAAGTGCGCCGTGAACGCCGCTCTCGAGCAGGTTATTCGCGTATTCCTTAAGGCCGATGGACACCACCCAGTGGATCATCCTCTCGTTGCTCCACACCAGGACATCTAGGGAGGCAAAAACACCGTGCCAGACTCACTACAACACCACTTCTCTGAACCAAATCATCCAGTCATGAACTGCATGATTGGAGTGAAGTGGAAAGTAAACATATTAGAAGTCCGCTGGAAGACATTTCACACCATAAGTTAAATATTCCAAAGAACAATTCTCTAGATAGAAGAGATGCACCCATTCCATTTGGTAGGTGAAAAACAACCCACCAGCCACAACCCTGGCTTGGTTGCTGCTAGTTAGTTGTGACTCCTGGGAAGGATCTCAGGCACAATTACCAAGTTAACCACCAAAATGTATCAATGCTTTGAAAGGAAATGGAAAGAGCAGGCACAGAACCTTCTAAGCAAGTTTTTAGACTCAGATATCAGAAAATACTTCTGATATTAGGCAGGGAACAAAATTGCTATGGGAAACCTTAGAGAACCATTAATTCCCACCCTACTTTCTCTTACTCCTTCTCTCTTGTACAAGAATCATCATGAATCTGGAAGATATAATTACCTAAGTCACGTGGACACATTTTCATCAACTGCTGGGCAATAAAAGTAACCAGCCACAAGCAACAACAAAATTATGCAGATGTAAAGTTATATCAAAATGGGGGGGAAAGAAGAAAATAAGGACACCTCTCCCCCATCATGTCCTTAACTCTCATTCTCCTAAAACATTCAGCTTCAAACTTCAGAGCAGTATGACTTTCAAAAATGTTCACATCTGTAGCATAAGTAAGAGATGTAATGATGTATTTTATCATTCAGTATTCAAGGGCCTACACTCAGACATGCCTTGTGCATTTAACACTTGATATTTTATAAATGGTTCCATCCTCTAAAGCCTTTTCTTTGTTTTTGAATCTTTGAGGCTGATCAGTGAAAACATGGCAGAATCAGACTGAGGTGAAGACAATGCACTAACCCTTAATTTCATTCTGGCTTTCTTCTCTTTTTCTTTCCAGTTCTTTTCGATCATAATTCAGTCTTCGGAGGCACATAATTCCACACTGAAAACTGTTCCTGTTTGGACCAGAGAAAAAAAAATCAGAAAAAATATTTAAAGATAATGGAAACACTTAACTGTGGGTGAGGTCTCCAGCTTCAGCCTCCTTACCTGTGAAAGCTGTCCACCATTTTCAGCTGCCCACGCAGGTCTTTTTTAGTTAAGTGATCCAGCATCCGAGCGTCCACCAGACATTCCATGAAGTAGCTGCGGTACTGAGGGAGCCCCAGGCTTGGCAGCCACTCATTGCCAATCCACTCGTGGTTCATGTCACCATAGGCTAATGTCTGGTTTGAAAAAAAAATTAAGGGACAAGCTTATTGAAATGAGAAAAGAAAAGCTGTTTTAGACAGCATAGTTTAAAGAAATTGCTTATTTGATTCTTAGCCTGTAAAGATAAGCAGATCAGACTACTGAATACTATATGTATGTTTTCCAAAGAAGTCACCCTCTTGGAGAAAAGCAAGTTCAGATATTCACATCAGCAAGTAAAACTGCCTCAATTTGTATCAAGAAATAGCATGACAAAATATGCAAGAGCTAATAAAATTTTACAGAAAGATTAATCGACATGGTTGGATAGCAAAAGCTATAGAATTTCATTGTGTTGAGATATTGTAAATACTCTCTCTCTTGAAAACTGGGGGGGGGATTTTATTTTTCATGTGACTTTATAAAGAAAAGATATCAGGAAAATAACTGCAGGCCTTTTTATATACAGTTAGCTGTTTTCAGAAACTGATAAAACCCTGTTACCAAAGAACTAGCCATTCTAAATGCTAGTACTTATCCTAAAAGAGACTTTTCTCATTACAGTTTTGATCTGCAAATCACCAGGCATTTTTTTAGAGAAAACATCTATAAAAGTAAGAGTTTGTAATCCCACATGTAATCACCCCTTGGGCAACGAAACCCAGAAGGTACTTTCTTCAAAAGCATACTAATTCAGATTTTTCTGTTAAAAGGCAAAAGCTTTATTTCTGCTCTAAAGGAAGCACCTTCCAGAAAGGAGCAAGGCCACAAGGAAATGCACCTCTCCAAGCCATCAGAAGGTGGAAGAGTGAAAGAGCTCCTTACTCTGCACTTGCTATCACTGACAATCAACAAATGAGTAGCTGAGATGTAGTTAATGGGACTTAAACCAGCTTTAAGCTGGAGGGCAGCCAAGAAAGAAGAGCCCATGTCCAAAGACATGGATCATGGGTAAATCCCAAGTTACGTTTCTATCCCTGTATAAATACTCAGCTACATCAGTGCCAGGGAATACAATTAGGATTTGCCTCCACTTTAAGGCAAAACAATCAATCAAGGGGAATTACAGAATTAGTGCATAGAAATCTACTTAACCATCCAGGCCCAGGGTATCTTGTGGCACACCTGGGATGGTGGCTGGGTTGGACAGGGACTTTCTATACAGAGCAGATATTCCTCTTGGAATTCTGGCTTCCTCAGAGAACCATCCCCCAACAAAACATTAAAATATTTAAACCACATGTATTTCCCAAGTGTGCATTTTAGAGAGATAAGGCTGCAGTTTCCCCCTCTCCCAATCCCCAGGTCACACCCAGAATCATTAAAAGATGCTGGCCTAAAGGATAAAGAGATTCTTTCATGCTCTAATGATTGTGACAGTTTACATACAATCTGTAATATGAGATAAAGTTTCCAACCTGAGCCCAGCTTCCCTCCTCATCTTCCTGTTAGGTGGTTAGGAAAGCAAAAGAACACACACATATTAGTGGTTAAGTTTAGTAAGGAGGTCAAAGTTAATGGCACACTGCAAGACTCTAAATCTACTGCATACCAAAAAAAAATCTAGATAAACCAAGCATCATGCAATGTAAAAAATTATACACAACGCACTTATTCTTGTATGAGAAGTTGCAAACCCCATCTACTGATTAAGTTTTCTGGAGAGAAGAAATTTCTGCACCAATAATTCAATTTGTCTATTCGTCAATCAAGTCAGAGCTCCATTTTACAGATTAGAGTTTTGTTTACAATCTTATCAACACTGATTTTTTTCTTCCTCCCTTCTGGGAAAAAAGCTATCAAGATGCAGATTGCAAGGTTAATAGTTAGAAGAAGCAACGATCCAGAATTTTAGTGCATTAATTTGAAGGAAACAAAAAAAAAAAAAAAGAAAAAAATACCAAAAGGTACTTGATTCAAATGTTCAAGAAGTGGAAAAAGCACTCTAAGGAAGAGAAGTGGCAACACTGTAAACTAACCGTTTGTTGTGTGGCTGTAAGATTTTCCATCTCTTCATGTGTTACCCAGACATTTCCCGTGGTCTAACATGAGCCCACAGGGAATCAATCCCATCCAGTGAAAGGAAAGCAGTAACAAAGAGGAGAGGTTGCAGAACAGATAAGCAATTGGTACATGTAAGGAGCAGGCATGGGCAAAGCAATGGTCTCTAGGTCAGCTACAGCTACTGACAGTCATGGCATGCAATAAAAACCTACTCACAGGGATCAACTTCCTTCACAGATATTAACAAAACTGAACAGCAGAAACAGCTGACAGGATTTAATTAACGGGTAAACATTCAGCTCTGCTCTAATCTGAAAAATACATTTGTAGCCTAGCACATAACCCCAGGAATAACTTTAGACTGCAGGGCAGACTGACTCATGAGAGAAAATTCCCACTACATGCCTAAATTTACTAGAGAGACAGGTGTCTCCTAGATCATGTAGTCTGAATTATTTGGAGTTAATGGCTTTACAGCTACATTAAAAGAACCTCCAAGTATCCTACAAATTTCTGTACACACTTGTAGACTTCATCTGTATTTTAAATTCTCTGGAGGCCAAAAGATGAGGCCAATAACACATACTCTAAATACTTTGGATTGCATTCTTAGACTGAAATAAACTTCTCTATTCCTCAAGAAAGAAAATTGTAGTTATTCCTTTAGCTAATTTCCATGAAAGGAAGGAACAGCCTATATTTAAATAATGTGTTCCTTTCCAGAAATTCATAATAGAAGTTCAGTTCTAAGTTTACAATCAAATGTGGGGAAATTCTAGGTGTTTTTTGCTGCATAAGTAAGTTTCCTTACCGTCCTTGAGGTGGGAGGGGCAGAGGGGCTGGTTAGGGACATGATTTCCTGGATAGCCAGGCGGAGCTTGAGCCTGTGCAGGGGATTGCTGATGCCAATTTCCCGCTGGATTTCCGTGTCAGACAGGGCTGACATGATAGCACCGCTTTTCACATTGGCTCGGCAGGCAGCCACGTACCAGGCTGGCATCCCCACCCACAGCTGCAACACAGAGAAGGAAGGAAACAGGCTATGGAAAACATTCCTGCCTCCAAACACACACAGACTTTACAAAGTCTGTACATTGAGGGGGATTTTTATTCATTTTGGGAGGACTACTCACCTCCAGCCACACCACCACAGTGGGCCCATCCCACTGTGCAAAAGGCAAACCTTGTCTTCTGGCTTCCTCCAGCAACTCGTGCCTACAATTACAGAAACATCATTAGTTATAATGGATGTTAGAATTCCAGCACTGCACTCACTTTACTCTCTTCTTTCCAATAAGTAACTTATTCCTTTCCCAGCCAGCCTTATATGATACCCCTCCTCAGGCAGGTACAGCACATGTACAGGGACTATGTAGGGATGAAAGCTGAGCTGGGCAGGAAATCTGAGAGCAGCAGAGATGTGGATCTTGCCTTTCAGAACCCAGTTTCCGAAGTCACTACTGACACTCCCAGCCCAAAGTGAAGACAGAGTGAAGATGTCAGGCTTATTTGGCAATCTGACTCTCAGCTGCTCAGTTTTCTGCCTCAGTTTTCAGCAAATCTGAACCAAAGCAGTCATTTCTCCCCAGCCTGTGCAGATTTGAAACCTGTGGCCACACATGAGCACATCAGACACGCCTGTCCATCATGCTGTCAGGGCTGGACACTGGGACAGTGACCATTTCACTGGTGAACATCAGCCTGTCAGAACAGCTGGCACAGCTTCACACAACCAGAGTTGTGTTTGGCAATTCTATCCTGACAGGCTGTGTACTGAAACTCAGCTTTCATCTCCCCTGATGACAGCATTTCCTTTGTTGTGTTGAAACAGAAGCGCCTGAAGTTTCATACTGACAATTCAGCTCCCAGAGACAATAGAAGCTCACAAGGTCCCTATAAATAGCTGCCAAAAATGTTTAATAAACCAAAGGACAAAAACTAGCACTGTGGATATAAGCATGCAATGCTACTTGGATATATCTGGCTAAAAACATGGAGAAAGCCTAAAAAAAGCATTTTTACATTCCCTTTGAAAGCCAGTTATATATGGTTAAATCTCCAGTCATTCTCCTTTGAAAATCTGAAAGAATAACTGCACCTACATTAGACTGATTTTACTGTTCCTTATTCATGCCTGCAAGTGTAGAATTAAGATATGCAGCAATACTACAGAGTCAAGACCCTACATTATGTATTTACCATTTTCTCACTATTTCAATCAAATAAAATCTCCTTGCCTTTTGAACTGTCTCACTGGACAGATCTCAGATGGTAACAATTTTAGAAGTTATAGGTATTAAAATACACAAGGCACCTTGAAGAGTGATTACTGAGAGACAAGGAACTGTTTTGCTACTCCTACAAAATGGCACAAAATGGAAGTGCTCTTTTAGACATATCTGGGATCCTCATGTTATATTGGCAGGTAACTAAATATTAAAAAGCAATAGTGAAGCAATAAATATACTAGCAACTGCTTTATCAATAGATAGCACTTCTCCACCTGCACACCAATAAATTCCTATTGCTCTGGAAGAACTCCCAGTAATTTGTGCTAATTAAATGTGCTTCCCAGGAATGGGAAAGGAGGAGGAAGGCAGGCACTGCCAGACAACTGGTTACAAATAATCATTCTAGGTACCATTTTGAGATCCATCCATTAAGGTGGTCAGCAATCAGCAGCTGAATTTCACTACCAAAAAAGACTGTAAAAGCGTAGACATATTTGTACATTTCAAAAAGACACATTTCTGAATTTGGAATAAAGGATCAGCTATTTCCCTGCTACTGTGGAACACATTACATTCATTCCACAATTAATTAGCCCTGAACACATTTAGTTCTGCTTCTCTTTGCTGTTTAAAGATTTCAAAATTAGAAAAATAATAAGATCATATGAAACACTGTTTCGTAAGAACAGAATAAAGTGTTTAATACTGTATTTGCCAGAAAGGAATACAAAGTTTGTTCCAAGTACTTTAGCTTCCAAATTGGTGTCTATGCCTTCCTTTTTGGTGGTTGTATTGTGTGGCGTTTAGAGAATATCAGTGTCATTTCTGGTTGTTCTATAAGTCTCATTGTATACTTCATGGTAACCATGAAACAGTGAATCCTTTGGAGTAGAATACAAGGAATACATCAAAAATGTAAGGAGAGGTTATGATGCCAACTTGAAATTCATGGTGGTAATGTAGGAAGAAAAGAATTGTGTGATGGAGGAAAACACAAAAATAAACAAAGAAAAAATACTTATGAGATGACTTTATGCAGAAATTATTCAATGGATCCAGAAAGGAAAGCAATCATGAAGCGGAAAATTAATTGCAGAATTTGTTCATATGCAGTAAGAGATAAAAAACTTGCTTGCACAGGAAATCCTTAACCCCAAAGCTCAAGATGTAGCCCAGGAAGAAAACAGCTCATAGGAAGAATTCAGAAGCAGCTGCTGTTTCATCTGCAAATGATGCATTGATGTTTTCTTCCTATAGCAGAGAACTTCTCTTTTCCCACTATTCCCTTTAAACTCCACCAAGAACTCACTGTATTCCAGTAAAATGTGATCAGATTCCTGAGAGATCACAACTGCCCAGCCAACTGAGTCTCACAGCCCAACCATTATACCAGTTAGGAAATAGGTGCAAAATCCAGAACCTTTGTGAGGAAAAAAATATTGCAGTGGTGTCAGCAGCGTTAACAGCTGGTACAAACCTGGCCCTGAGAAGGATGAAAGTGTGCCAAAAGAGTAGCTGGCTACTGGAATAACTCCTAGGTGACAAAACCAAGGGAGAGATGTCTGGAGGCTTAATAAAAAACCTGGCTGAGCTTCCCTTGGAACAGGAGCCCAAACATGCTGCTGGAAGGGGGGGAAGAGTCGCTGTTAGACACATTCCAGAGGCATCTCACAGCAGCTGAGGAGGACAAAAGCTGTGGTCACAGGGAGTGGGAAATGATGCCAAAGCTGCAGGTGGTGCCTGATGCAGCAGCGAGTGCACAGGACCCTCCAGAGACTGGGTGAAGTACCTGTGCTCAGAAGGGCTCTTGGCAGGAGAGCACACACTCACCCCACAAGGAAAAATAAAACAGCCTGGATCACTTGGTCACTGGATTAGGACAGCATGGGAATGGATCCATGGAGAGCTCATAGTCAGAGGGGAATGCTGTATCCCAGATTTCTTGGATGGAACTGAAGAGGACTGATTTGGAAGAAGTTCAGAATACAGTAAACACTGCAGTGTGGGGAAGAGAGTGATACTGATGGAAGTGACAGAGCTTCAGGGTGTAAAAACTGAGAAGCAACAGCTGTAAAACATGAGATGGAAATAGGCAGAGCTTCAGGGGCAAGTTAATATCCTTATTCTAGACTGAGTTCAGGGATGTAGTAAGTGCTTTGTGTGTGAGAGTTATCTTAAATTTAGGGTTGCCTTCCTTTTTGATGAATACAGTACTAAGTTGGTGCTGCTGTAGCCAGAAAAGCACAAACACAGTTGTGGCAAACACTGTCACTACCACAGCTCACACAGGAGATGAACACAGCACTATAAACAACTTAGGTTTAGTAAACACCAAACAACACTTTTACAGAGCTACATCTACCTTGGAAACACAAATACCTACTATTGCTAAACAACTTTCAAATCCCTGATTACAAAACTAATCTAAGAGGGTTTAATATTTCCACTATAAAAGCTCACACCATGCAAATTAAGACAAGACACCAAACTAGCTTTCACACTGAACTAGGTGACACTGGATTTATTTCAGCAACACATTTTCATAATATGTTCTTTTGAATCTAGTATTTCCTTTCATGATCAGACTTTTTTGAAGAAAGTATAGAGGTTTTAATATATTGCTAAAAAATCCAAACAAGTTTTATCATACTTGCACAACAATCCTAATGAAAATAAATACAAACTTACCCTGATTTTGCACTACCACATCAAACGGTAAACAAAAGGAAAATAAAATAATGAAAGACAAATATAAAACTAGGATTAAACTGAACTCAAAGGCATACAAAACCAGACAAATAATGTGTACTGTAATTTAATTCTGCAACTATAAATAGATTTTTGTTAGCAGACACTGAATGTTGCTCTCAGCCTATTTGTGCACATGCAAGCACAAATCAGAAAGATAAACGAGCAAATAGGGATTAGAGATAGCTATAAATAGAATGAGCTGTCGTTGTTCCAAGCATTCAGGTAACTGGAATTCTTTTTGCTGAATACAAGGTTTTGTAAGTAAACAGTCAGTCAGAATTTGTTTTAAACCTCCCTCCTCCAGTGTCAGAGTGAAAAGCAATTCAGAGCAGCTCTACCATTTTTTCTTTTTGATAAGGAGCAGTTCAAGAAGGCAGCAAAGGATCTTTGATCCCTTATGATAATATTGCTTCCCATGTTCAGAACACCCCTCAGGATTCTGAACAATTGCATGACAGCATCGAACTTGGGATTTTTCAAATGACAGATCTAGATTGTTTTCATTTCTTTGAGTGGTAGAAAACAGAAGGCTTCAGGGAGACCTTAAAGCCCTCTCCAGTACCTAAATGGGCTGTGGAAGAGATGGAGAGGGGCTTTGGAAGAGCTAGGGAAGGCAATTCCAAACTAAAAGTTTTCATTTGTTTAATAGAGACAGCTGCCTTTTAAGCAATCTGCAACATGCAGCCATAAATTATACTTTAAGTAATACCAGCACATTTTTGAAAAGCAGAATGTTTATAAGAAAAGCCATGATTTATCTGCAACTGCACTTCTTGCATTTCTTAAAACAAGACAGTATGGATTGTTTCACTTGAGAATGAAACTTGTGGCTGGTATTGAGAAATACCTATATTGCTCAAAGAACAGACCTTACCATTCCTTAGATATGACCAGACTAAAACTTTTATTCAATCGAGATGTGGTATGACTTTAAAGCACTGGAGAAAAGGGAAAATACCAGATCATAATAATATATGATTGCCTTCAGAGCAGCAGTCTGAAGAAAAACAGCTGAGCCTTCTGTTATCCAAACAAACCCACATTCCATTCTGACTTTTCAAACCAACACACTGCTGGTTTTCATTAGCAGCCACCAGGCATTATTCTCATTAGTTAATAGAACTTAGGTACTGCAAGAAATCCCTCTCAAAGGGAAAATTAGCACCCTTTCTTTTCAATATTTACTGTCTGTCTTCAGAAGGCAAGGAAAGTCTGATCTTTATCAGTTTTTTGACAGCTGAACAGAACAGAAGCAGCAGAAGTTTAAGGTACATGGCTCAGCACTGGAGGAAAAAATGCAAGGAATGCCTGATCCTACTTATATAAATATGAGTGTTTCCTGTATTCCCATATAAGCATCAAGTCAGGATTTCTACAAGCAGCAATATCTCTTTTTCACCTATGATTAGTCCTTGCTTCATCTGTCCCAAGTCTGAAAACAACAAAGCATGCAAACAGACACTCCAAAGGTGAGAAGTAAACTAAAGATTTTCTGGGACAAAGTGAAAAAATTCTCATGACTAGGAGAAGGTAACTGCATACAAGGTGCCATTAAAAAAAAGTCACAATTGATTAAAAAAAATTGAAGAAACGAGGGCAATATGGTGCAAAGAAAAAGGCAACAGACAATCTTAAACAGAAGTGAAAAAATTAGTGAAGAGAGAAGCTGCCAGCAGCTACAACACAAAGGGACAGAGAAAGGAGCCAGCAAATTCATACACAGGAAGGGATGTCTGCACACAGCATCTCGTGCTTCCCTTCTGTCAATTCCTCCACACTCTGGAGCAAAGAACAGCCAAGGACAACTTTAGGAAATCTCCCATTTGAATTCAAGGTATTTAGAATTTATTACATTTAATACCTCCCAAAGCAGGTATGAAATATAATAAATTTGGGGGAAATTAGGTAAGAGTCCACTTCTGTCTCCAGATTTCTTTATTACAGCAGTCCAATTGTAAGTTTTCAGCTTAAATTCCTTTCAAATTTACCATGACCTATGCTGCTATTAATGTTCTGGAAAAATAGTAAAGTAAAAAAAAAAAAAAAAAAAAAAAAAAAATCTACAGAAGCTTATAAACCATAGCACCATATTAGCCAAAAATACCCTAAAACCAAACTAAAAAATAAAACCACAGCATTTTTAAACAAAGCAACACATGAATAACACAGGATTAAAATATTTGATAACTTACTTTTTCTGCATTTTCCTGTTTTTCTCTGCTTGACCTCCAAGTTTGCTGAGGCCTAATGCATCCTGAGAGGAACCATCTGCTTCTCCCAGGCCACCTACAAAAAACCCCAAACTCAAGTCACTATCCATTTAATCCTTTGTAATATTACTGACCAGGAATGGGTAAAACAAAAGCCCCAAGGCCATCTCTCTCACTGTGTAAGAAAAAGCAAACCAACCTTGTCCTAGAGCTTCCTTGCTTCCTTGCCCAGGTCGTCCCTTTTCCTTCTTGCCAAACAGGCGGCCAATGGAGGATTTGATCCCCTTCTTTTTGGGGGCTTTGTGGAGGGAATCTTGGCTGCTGTTACTGCTACTAGGATTACTTGTTTGGCCATCTTGTGAACCTGTTGAACTGTACAAAATAAAAAGACTCATAAAGGAGCCCATGTACAACAAATTCACCAGAGATAAGTTCAGGGTTCTGTGCAAGTTAATTAAGTTCAGTAACTCACTAATTACATTTAATTTCAGTTAATTTTATGAATTATGAAAAGAAATGTTGATGGCAGAAGTTCCTGGCTGAAAGGGGCAGACAAAGTTAAAAATACTTGAGTGGAATTCATCTCAGATACTTAGGTACTTTGAAAAGAGTATCTGTCAATCAAAGTGATGGCAATTTTGCAAGATATTTCTCAATTTACAGCTAAATAAAAACTTAAGAGTTACATTTTTCATATCCCAAGCATGAAGAAAACTTAATGCATACTTTGAGTACCAAAAGCATTCCCATGAAGCCATTTCTAAGCACTAGCAAAATCTACATTCCTAATGTTTATGTAACAGTCACCCATTTATGTGTTCACACTCCTGACTTTTGAGAAACACTTTAACACTCAGACTAAAATCCTACAGGCTGAACAGCTCTGCAGTTTGGGGTTTTATTCTGATGCTGTGGAACACTGTGGAATTGCTGGTAGGTCTGAGTGATTCCCAGCTTACTTACTTCCTAATGTCCCTGATATCTTCGTGGCTCACTGTGTGCAGAGCTCCTTTCTGGACTCTGTCCAGACGCAAGGACCGAGGTGAAGAAGGTGGCGATGTCTCACATTTAATGGTGGTTTTGTCATCTCGTACCTCTTCTCTGGAAGCTGGAGACTGATGGAAAAGGAAGGAAAACATGAGGGGCAATGCCAAAACATGAAGGCAATATCAACACTACACAAAACAGTGAAAGGAAGAATCTTATTTTAGTGTTAAAGGCTCACTCTTGCCCTTACCATTCTGCAGTTGCCTATTTTTTGCTTGATTTCTTTCTGAATTTCGTGTTACCTTCAGTGACAAATTACTAAATTCAGTCTTAGCTACTGAAATGAGAAAGTAGCACTTATCTTTTATTCATTTATAGGGCTAAGAACTAAAGTAATGCCTTCAGCACAATAAAATGAATATACCTGTCCCCAGTTCAAGCAAGTGCAAAGACAGAAAAACTAAAGAGACCTGTGGAAAGAATTATTAGCAAGATCATTGACTTTATGAAGTCAGTTTCTACCCACCTGTGGCTACAAAAGTTTGAGCAACAGAAAGAATAACTTATTTGTGTGTGCACTGACAGCTTTTAAAATTCAGGACTGATGCATGAAGACTACAAAGCAGTGAGTGCAAACAGAAAGCAGCACAACAGTCCTCCACACCAGCAAAAACAGGCAAACAAACACAAAAACCCACAAAACAAACCCACACTTAGGCTAAAATGATAAACCATAATCTTGGGTTTTTTTACAGAGCTACCCTGCAAATGCTTTATGTTCCTGTCATTCACTAATGAGTTTGGGGACAGAGAGGGAGATGAAAGGGCACACCATGAAATAAACTAAAGATTTTTACCTTTCTACGGTGTTTCCTTAAATCACTAGGCTGACAGATGCATGCAAAGAAAAGAAATTTGGAAAAGCTGTATTTATTGTAAACTGCAGACTGTCTATAAAACAGACTAAGACAACTAGTACAGACAAAACACCTTAGGGAGAATATAAACAACAATTACAACAATGGCACAGAGAGATACTGGGTATGAAGTACTCCTTAAATCACAGATTACTTAAATGTATCCCTGAAGTGAGGAAAAGGAAGCAAAAAATAAACACTTAGAGTTGGATATCTACCAAAGTACCAGAGATGTTTGAATGTGTTGGGACTGTTGGCAAATTAGCACAAAATATGTGCAGCAAAAAAAAACCCAGTAAAGTGTTGGGGGGTGCAAGGTGTTGCTTTGACAAGGCGAGACCTGCTTTGAACCTCCAGGTCAGCCACAGGAGCCTTAATAAATCATCTGCACTCATCCCTCCCAGGGATTCCTGCAGCTGTTTCCTACACTGCACAAAAAGCAGCCAAGACTTGAATAATGTCAGAGAGTGCCAACAATAGCCCATTTCTATACAGTAACAGGATTCTGCTCTTTTTGCAGCTTTCCAGTGCTGGAATGTTTGAGCAGGAAGTCACCACCACTTCTATTTTATCCTCCATCCACTCTATCCTCACTCCCCAAGGAGTGCTCGCCTCTGCCAGTGCACAGAGCAAGACTTACACAAACAGCTTATTCAGACTGATGCTGACAAAAGTTAAATTTAGATAATTTGTTTAATAGCTCTCATTATTTAAAAAGCCTGCAACCAACAGTAAAGTTGGTCCCCTTTGAAGTGGAACAGGGGGAGGGATGTTGTTTCCCTCCCACAAAGGATAACTTTTAATTGTTTTTGATTTAGAATACATGTAAATTTTGCAGCATTAATATGGAAAGTTTTGTTCAATCTGACTGTAGAGTACTACATTAATAAATCATAAGTTCACTGAATCATAGAAGGGACCTTTAAAGATGATCTAGTTCCTCCTCAAGTTCTTGATAAAGCACTGCAGACTCATTTTACCATTACTGGATCTTTCACCCATTAAATCTGATGAGCATAAAAATTAAAATGTTCACCACATGAAATGAACTGCACACTAGGACTGCTCAAGGGAGCTGTAGGCTTCACCATTTATCATGTTGATGCTTTTTAATCATGAGGGGCTTTCAACTGACTGAGCTGCATAACCACTGGCATTAAGATAATTTGCCTATGTGATCAAAACCTAATGCAACTCTCTATTAAAACACTGGAAGACACAGCAGAACTCAGTCTAATAATCCATGACAGCTCTTCCTAAAGTTTCTAGAAAGCTCTTGTTCTCTAATTCTTGATTTCAAACTTTCACAAATCAGTTGCCAGGTACAAAACCCATGAAATACAGCTACAAACACCAGATCAAGTGACTTCGATGCACAATTAGGATCTAAAGTGAACTCAATTACAGTTCCCTTTTCTTCAGTTGCATTGGATTTCAGACAAGACACATTCTCCTGATCTAGTTTTGGGGAAAAGAGCTACTTAAATTTGTAAATGATTTTCTGCATGAGAAGTATTTAGCTTAACTAATTATTGTGAAATGTTAGACGATAGAACACTCCACAATCTGAAATTTGACAGCTTTTTTTAGAAGACTGCTTGCCCCTGGATATATGGCTAGAGCTGGTACGATGATTTTTATTTTAATGCAAAGGAGGAAAAATTACTCCCTTTTATGAAAAAAATACTTTTTGGTGTAAGTGCACATTAATTTTAAAAAGCCAGCAAAACTACTTAGCTTAAATACTTGGTTTTATTTGTTCATTTTATTTAATATTTATGTAAAACAAGTAAGGGGGAAATTTTTATCTTAATTTTACAGATGTGTTTACATACATAAAGCAGCTCCTAGAAGGATTAACCTTCCTCAGCAGTCACAGGAATGTCAAAAGAAGGACAACATCTTTCTCTACTCTCTGAACTCCTAAGACTAAACTACTTTATCAACTACAAGGTCTAACAGATATTTCTTTTACCTATCAGGCTTTAATTGCCTAAAACAGGACACTAGCACTCATTAATATTCATACAGCAGTGATACCATCCCAATCTTCAAGATTAATATGCAAATCACTTTTTAGCTGAGTGTTTACTGGAACAGTGGACTGCTAAAAATAAAGTTTAAAGCAGATGGGGAAAGTGGTTGAAAAGAAAACATTATTAATTCTAGAAAGAGGAGTCTGAAGAAAGACCATAACAACAGAAGGAAAAAATACTTAGGCATGAGATGTTGACCAAAAAATAGACTTGAGCTCTGAACGTTTTTCCTAATCATTATGTATCTTACACTTTTTACAGAAGTTGAAAGGAAGCAGTAGAAAAACCTAGAGAAAGGAAAAATACAGCTGAGTAAGCAGGAGAGGAAGGGGCAACCGAAGAACCCATTTCCTAGAGAACAGGAACGCTCTTCCGAGGAGACGGCAGGCCGTGGGTACCCACCAGAGTCATGACGCCCAGCCTGTCCACCTCCCTGGCGGGGCTGTGCGGGACGCGCCGGGGCGTGGAGCGGCCGCTGCCGGGCGGGGAGGAGCCGGCCAGGGCCCCGCCGAACGCGGGGGCGATGGAGCCCAGCGAGCGGAACCGGCCGTGCGCCTCCAGGCTGCCGCTGCCCACGCGGCTCTCGATCTCCTCCGCGCGCTGCTCCGTGTTCTCCTTCTCCTCCTGGATCAGTCTGAGGGAAAAAGAGCCTCACAGGAACGTGACATTCCAACAAGGACCACGCAAACAGAAGCGGTACTTAGCAGGAAAACGTGGGAAAATTACCGTTTTCCAGCATGTTTGTATCAAAACCTCCACAGCACAGAGGCCATACCTGATCTCTTTGTTGATTGCATCCAACTGTTCCTGCAGCATTATGGCCAAAGTCTGAGCATCGGCCTGACCACTTGGTGACAGCAGATCAACTGAGCTGAAAATGGTCTCCCTGTCGTCCTCCATGTCAGACACATCCACATCACTCTCAAATGCTTGTGCCACGTTTGCCAACACACTGGCTTGCTGGGCCCGCTCCCAATCCTGCTCATTCAGGGTCTGAACCTACAAGAATCCATTAAAGAAATAAATCCAAGCTCAAATGAAAAAAACATTATGTCCCTACTGCTTATTACGATATTTAAAAGAATTTATGTAAGTCCACTTACATGCTGAACACATCCAAGACAGCAGTGTTTAGAGAAATATTAAAAAAAAAGCAGCTATAATGTAGGAAACTTTAAATTTCATTTAACTGCAAAATGCAGAACATGCTTTTAATTGCAGTAGAATTTTGCTATCAATTCCATGGGAACTATGGTATCAATTTTGTGTAATGAGTACTGAAAGGAAATGGAAATTGCTTTCAGAACAGTAATGTGTTAGATTAGAGTATACAGACACTAAAGTAGGACTGCTTCAAATTGTACTTCACAGGCTTATCAAAATTAAAAAACAAAACCAAAAATTAAAAAAACAACACCAACAAAAACTCAACAAAACAAAATAGGAGCTCCAAACCATAATCATGCAACTATTTCCTAGCACTTAAAAGGACGAGCAGCTGTTCATGAGTTGGTAACACAGGAACTATAAAACTCAGGAGTTTATTGCCAGGTCTTCCCAATTCTAAAACCTCCTTGCACCTGATTAGCCTCATGCACTGGATAAATCTGTGTTGTTATTTGTATTCTTTCCTTACCTTTGAAGGCTCGTCCCTGAGAGCAGCCAGACGCCCCTTCTGGGGCCGCCTCAGCACCGAGGACGTGCCGTAGGAGTCTGTGTGACTGTCCCCCACAGAGGAGGATGGCACAGGGAATCTGAAATCCGCTCTGCTGCAACACAAAAACATTTCATCTTTACAAAGGGAGAAAAACAAAAAAAAAGCCGCCCAAAGGATTTCTCTTTTCCCACCACTGCCAGTTGTTTTTAAGCAGTATAAAAATTGTTTTATATGCTCTATAAAAGGAATTTATCATTATGACTGAAATATTTTCATTTCTAATATACAGGATTGTATTTAGCATAGTGACCTTAAAGAAAATAGGAAAAAACCAAACTACTGCTGGTACCTGTGATGAAGTGATGTGGTTCTGAGCCTCACTTGGTCGTTTTCAGCTCTTAATGCATCAACATTTAATACAAGTTGATCCTGGAAAAACAAATAGAAAAAACATGTAATACGCTTTTTAAAAAAAAATAGTGTCAAATACAAATTTATAAACTCACATTTAAGCTTTTCAATCTAATTTCTCTGAAAGTTGAAAATAACAGATTTTAAGATATAGCATTCACCTATTTAAACATTGTTTTTGCTACACACAATACAGCACTGTCACAAAAGGCATCCCAGAATAATTCTGCTGCCTCTCTACCCTGACTCTAGCAATGACAAAATATATTTTAAAAACAGCTGTGAGTTCACATGTTACTAAGTGAATTATAATTAAGTGATGACAAGAAACGAAGATTTGCTCAAGCTTTCTGCACAAAAGGATCTAAAAGCATTCACTTTTAACTGGACATTTTTACACGCTCTAGAAACTCTGAATTTAACAGCAGAGAAATACAATGAATGAGAAAACAACAAAAGTGTAAATAAAATAAGAAGTGGCTGATAATGAACATCTGTAAGGAGGGACCTTGTCATTTCCAGGACAAGCAGAACACCAGGCACCTTAACCATTGCAAAGGAGCAGCCCAATCTAATAAATATTTCTCCCTCTGCTCCCCAGTTCTTAAAACTTATAAAAAAACCTGTTAGCAGTTGCACAAGCATTTTCTGATATTCAATGCTTTGAGAAAACCTTATGGAAAAATAGCCAACATTAAAAATATTTCTCAAGTGGTTTTGCTGTTCAAGGTCGTATGTACAACAGTATAAAAATTCTACACAATCTCCAAACTTTGGCCAATTGCCAACATATCCAGGCACTTCACATATTCAAAAGTGTGTTAAGTCTTGGACTAAAAGGTTATGTGTTACCTATAAAATCCCCCTAAAACTGTGGCACACAATACCATAAAATCAGTAATATCTCCTTTCTTTTAAACAGAGCAGGAAATGTTAAGTTTTATGAGGAATTAAAATCTGATCCTGCTATGTAGCAAGGCAACAATTAAGTTCAAAGACAATATTTCAGAAATGCAGAGTCTACCTTTTCATGCTGAAGTTCTTCTATTTGTTTTTTTGCATTTTCAATTTCTCGAAGAAGTGAATTCTGAAATTAAAGGCATCACAAATTAAGGCACTCATAAGCTTTACACTTAGAAACCATAACCATGATGAGTATCAAAAAAAATGCAGTCAACAAATGCATCTAAAATTACACATCCTTGATTGCTTCCATCATTTCACTTTGCTTATAGTTGAAGGTTTATCCTTCCAGGTGTACAGCCCTCTAAATAATGGATTTAGTAATAGTACTGGTTCCATAAATCTTTAATAGCAAGAGCAGCCTTTTAAATCTCCATTTCACGGTGTAACTAGTAAAAAAAGGGAATAATTATGGAATAATTCAAAGTAATTCAAGAAAGATCACATGATCAGAACAAAATCTTAATGTTACCTGAATGTTTCTTCCCAACTTAGCATAAAAGAATGGGCTGGAAGCCTCAACAAGAACACTTTTCTAGAAGCTGTAAACTACAGTAAAGGACAAGTAGATTTTCCTCATTATTTGCAAATGTAGTTATGGTTTGGAAGATAAGAGGGAGCCAGGGTCAACCCTGAGACATCACCTATTATTCAAGCAATATGCATGAATGCAAGAGGAAGCAAACATTCAGTACAAGTCTGGAAACACCATTTGCGTTCCAAAGCATTTTATTGCCATGACTGTAAAACCAAAGACACTCAGCTTTTCCTGAAACATTTCCCCAGATTGTCATTTCACCCTCTAGTAAAAGAAACCAAATATATTTTAACCCAAGACCAAGCAACTCAAGGTCAGCATCAAGCAAAGCGCCACTTTAGAAGCCATTGCTTTGCTGGATGAAGAACAAGGGATCTAACTTCAAACTGTGCATGGAAGAATAATCCATAAGGATCTAAATCCAAAAGCAGAAGGGAAGAAAAGGAGTGAAAAGTGTGTCAGAAGAGATTAACTGAGTGCAGGAGAAAGCTCCAAGATGTGCACTGATAGTGCAGGAAAAGCCCATTTACATGCATATAATAAGTCCCAAAATGAGCTACCTGAGAAGAAAAGCAAACTGCAGGAATCCCACAATGACTCAGGGGAACTGGTACAGCCAAAAGCAGTGGGAAACAAAGGAAACTGAACTGGAAAGGTCAAAGTTCCAATGCTTTAGGCTTCCTGTATTACACTGGATGAGCCTATTTATGCAATCTCCACCAGTCATATAAAAAAGGATAAAGCTTCTTAAAAGCTGCCTTCTTAACAACCCACAGTGCCCAGGGACAACCTCAACAATTATTTTAAGAGCATACTTTCAAAATCCACACTAAAAAAGAGCCCTAACAGCAACTACTTATTAATAAAGGTTTTGTGTTTATTTGCTGAAGTTACAGACACATTGCAAAAGGCACAAATCATTACAGAATTACACATTCATTACTGGAAGGTGACTTGTTACCTTGTCTTCCAGGGCAGCCATCCTCTCCTTGAGATGAAGCTGGAGCCTTTCATTGGATTCAGACAGAAGCTTATCAACAGTTTCTGACAAACGTTTATTATGTTCTTCATTCATCTTCTCTCTCTGTCTAGCCTGAGATACAAAGAAGCTGCTGAAAAAACTTCAGATTTGCAATATCTCTAATTTCCAGGTTATGAAGGCAGCAAGCTTTCTTTAATCCAAATGCATTTTTTTATAACAGCAATGTTTTTCCACAGAGGAACACTGCAAGTGCCTCCAGGGCTCTGTAAGGGAATCTAAGGGACACTTGAGTCTTTAATAAGTGATCCAATACCCAAAATTTAAAAACCCAAGCCTGCATTAGAATAAATTTGAAAAAGGCACAATTCAGAATGGATTCCATTATCTGTAACCCAGGAAACAATTTTTCCATAGTCATTTAATTCAGCAAGTTCTTTCAAACTTTTATTGGAGACTTTCAGGACATTTTCCTTGAGATTTAAGGTTAGCCACAGTATAGTGACTCACTATCAGCCAGCCTAAACTCTAGCTTTATTTTAAAGCTGAGAAACAAAGAGGATTAGTTAATGCTTTCAGCTTTTTATCTTTGTCAAAATGATGTGCAGTACCCTTTGCAGTTCTTGATTCTTCTCTTCAAGCTGTGCCTCCATCTGTCTCAGCCGCTCCTCAATATTGCCGTGTCTCTCCTCAGCCTGTCAATTTGAGAGCAAAATTAGAATTTGGGTGGGTTTTTTTAGGCTCCAAAAGCACAGAAACACTGAGGCACAGGAATATTTCTAACATGCTTGCACAACTGCCATTTATGATAAAGGACAATGCAGAACAGATGCTTTTCTGTCACCAAAAGGACCTTGCAAGAGTTCAGATGGGAAGTGGCAAAATGATGAAACCTCTCACCCTTAAGTACCATCATGAATCAACTACTACTATTTGCAAACAAGCTTGCAACAGTGAAGTTCATTCACATCCCCAAGAAGGAAAACCAAACAATAAATAAAAGTAAAGACTGAGTGCATTTTCAGCTTCTCCTCACTAGCCTGGACGATGGGACCCTTTGTTAGTAATCATGGCAAAGCAGAAAGCAGCAAGCAGAGACAAGGACTAAGATACAAATTCTACCTTCCTAAGCTTGGAGGCAAGTTCCAAAACTTTAGCATCTTTAGCAGCAGAGCTCCCAGGAGACAAAAGGTCAGACTACAGAGCCAGTTAGGGACAGGAAAGATAAAAGGGTAAAAAATGAAACTAAGGCTTTGAAAGAAAACATGCACACACACACTTGAAAACACTCATTTGTAGTTAATTAAATATAATTCTTCAGATTTCATTACTCTATTTGTAGCCCTCTAAAATCTTGATATTTGGTAGTACCACAACTTCTCTCACTCCCCACTTACTTTGCTTAGCAGTGGAAGAAATTCAGGGTCAGAAAGAGTTCATGTTTAGAAGACTTTATGCCTATTATTGAATAATTTTAATAAAAAGTACCAAAATAATAATTCAGGGAGATATTTTTATGATGTAGAAGAGTTAACAGAAAACCCGCTTGAGTTCCAAAGAGCCAAAACTTAAAAAAAAAAAAGAGAGATTGACAATTAAAAAAAATGAAAGAGTAAATCAGAGCATCTTCAGAGATATGAAAGAAAAAAAAGTAGGAAATAAAGGTTTTCTGTAGGAAATAAGTATTTTCTGAATGATTTGTGGGAAAACTGGAAACCAAATGTAACCAAACCAACACTAGGAACAGATTTCCTGCAGTGGGACACCAATGGAGGAGGGAGTCTGGAGGACACTGTGCCACCATCTCACCTTTGTAAGTGCTGCCACTCTCTGTGCCAGCTCAGCCTCCACCTCTGGCAAAGTCTCAGCTTTCCTCAGGGTCTGCTGCAGCTTTTGCTCAGCCAGTTCCAGTCGCTCTTGCAGTTGCCTGTTCTTATCTTCGCTCTGCACAGGGTTATGGCCAGCAAGTGTTGAGAGTTAAAGAAGTGATTAGTTAGAAAGTGGTGGCTAACAACCATTTCTGGCTTCCGAAGTTGGACTATTTCATGTTCAATTCTCAAACTTCTTCTCTCACTAAGACAATAGCCTGCAAAAACCACTACATGCCGTGCAAATCTTAAAAGTTTAGCTCAGAATGAGTAATTTTCACCCACAAAACTAAAGATACTAGGTTACACATACAGTAACTTAAAAATCCACAATTAATAGGGACAACAGCCCAGCTGCCCCAAGATAAAGTGCACTACATTTCTCAAAACCATTTCCCCTTCCCAGTAAAGCTGCCTCATCTTTATTCCCAGGGTAAAAATCTCTGCAATGTATGACTCCAGCTCCTGAAAAACAATCACTAATAACAGCACATTACAGCTGATATTTATCTCCCTAAAAGCAAAGTGCTTCAGCACAGCATGAACATTAATTATCTCCATTAGCTTTATGCTGAGCAAAATGTACTCCATCTCATTTGAAACCACAACCTGTCGGTGCATGGAGTCTTTAGTGGCAATTTCATTTTCAAGTTTATCATTGAGGTCATGCACGGATGTAGCTTCACGTTGTGCAGCGAGGTAGCGTTTCTCCAGAGTGGTGATTCTCTCCTCCATGTCCTCCTTCTGGGCCAGAGTCTGGGCAAGGCACACAACAGAAGTCAGAATGTGAGAGAGAATTTCAAATAAAATTATTTCAAATTTTTTTTTACATCAGGTTATTTTTCTCAGTAAAAAATGAAGTGGAAAGAAATGGCTTTTTAAAATAATTAATTATTAAAACCCACTGGTATTTATTACCTTACACCACAGATCTGCTACTTTCCTTTCCAATGGTACACACACAGCAAATCTTGACTTGCTGGGGATGGTCAGAGAGTGTCCTGGGATTTAACTAAGCCCCCTTTCTATTCTAATAAGGATATGTAGAAACCTGGAGATTAGAGATTCAGCAGTGACAGGAACTGTCAAACACACTGAAATTAAAGGGATTCCTCAACCAAGTGCATCTTTCAAAAAAGGAAGCAAGAGCAATAATATAAGCATGTATGATAAGATCAAGCATCTCTTCCAGAGCCTGCTGAAGTTGGCAATGCTAAATCTATTAATGAAATATCCAGATAGGTTTATCCTGAAGACAGATTTTTTTTTTTAAGTGGACAATGGGACCCTTTGGTCTTTTAAGCAAAAGCCAGATACCTATTATGTCCTAAAAAAACCATTTTCTTCTCATCTATCAAACCAAAGTCTTCCAAAAACAAAGGTTCAACTGAGCATCAATGAGACTAAAATTTTATAAAGATGGCACTTGTGACTCCCCAAATCCTGACAGTTCCTTCCTCACCTCTCGTACATCCCTCTGTAACTTTGTGTTCATTTCTTCAGATTTTATTAAGTCTTTCCTTGCTGTGTCTAGATCTTCTTCCAGCTCTGTTACTCTGCTGGACAAAGCAGTGAGGCGTTCTTTCATTTGTGTCTGCTCTTTGTTTTGCTTATCTATGATGTCCTGGAGTTCAATCACTTTAGCAAGGTTTTCATCGTGGCATAATGAACCATCAGAGGATCTCTATTAAACAGGGGGAAAAAAGTGTATTAGCATGATGCAAATTAGATTGAAAAACAAATTGTTACTCACCTGTAAACATCCCTCCTCAAAGATAATTTTATTATTGAACAGACTGCAAAAGCTGACATTTCAATAACAATAACTTTTTAATTAGATGATCATTCAAAAATATTTTATTATGGTTTAAAATTAAAATGTTATAGTTAATGATTAAAACCCATATGTCAGCTAAGCAAAGTAAACAGCTGTACCTTCCCATTTGTAGTTGGTGTATTTTCTTGTTCATGATTTATATCCAGCATCCCATCTGGAAGTGTTTTCTTCTGATTATTTTGCTCTTTCAGAATCATTAACTAAAAGAAAAGTTTAAAGACACATGTTTCAAGCCAATTCCTTTTTCACTAATAATATAAGGAACAGCTGCAAAAGCAAAGGAGCAAAACAACAATTACTGATTCTACTGCCAGGTATGTATTACAAAAACCTGGCACAGACACTCAAATACTTTATGCCACTGCAAACCCTTATTTTAAAGGCACAGGGTCTCTTTTTGTTGGTTTGCTTGGGGTTTTTTTGTGGGGCAGAGAGGGTGTTAGGAGGTTGAGGTTTGGCTTTTTCCTCTCCTGCTCTTTCAAAGTAGCTAAGTTAAAAATTAACAATTATTCCATTTGGCAAGAAATCAAAAGGAAAAAGTGAAAGTGAAACTTAATAAATTACTCTGTACAAATATTGACTGAAACACCCATAATGGACACATGAAGCCTTATTTTAAGGCAGAAACTTACCTCTTTATGTGTAGTACCTAGTTCTTCTTCCAATAAGCTACACCTTTCAAGTGCTACTCGTAATCTCTCCCTTACCTGAAAGGGCAATTTCAAATTATTTGAAATCATTCAAATCAAAAGGAAATAAATTTTACTTGATGCCATGCCTTTACAGACAATAAATGACACTGTTTTCATTACACTTAGAAACCTTCTTAATCTGGAGTCAGTCCTAATTACAACACATGCTACCAAAAAAATAACCAAATAATGTGTATCTTATAATTTAGCTTTTCATTTTTTCTGCAATAAGCAACATGACCTGTATGTTTAGGCACTAAAGAACTAAACATACCCAGAATTTTCTTGTCCTTCTGCAAGGCACAGACTGTGTTTGCTTTTGCTCATTTACAACATAGAAGAACAGGTAAAATTCCACTTAAAATAATTTGCCAGATTTTATATACAAGGGTCACAAAGTCAGGTAAACTGCAAGTCAGCAACAAAATTTACAGGGAACTTTAGCAGCTGCGTATTGATATTAGTTGATATTAGCAGTATTGCTAATATCAGGCACAACTGAAGGGAGGAGTTCTTTTAATTCAGATTTTTATCCCAGTGTAAGTACATTCCCCTCCTCCTCTTCTCTCTCATCCATTTCTTTTATTAGAGAATCAAAAGGATAAATCCTGATGTTGTACAGGTAAGCAGCTCTGTGAAGTCCCTACAGCAAATGTATTACTCCTGAACCATGCTGAGTTTACATTAACACAGTTAATGAAGTGCTTGAATAAACCACAGCACCTTGCTTTAGTTAAGTGCAGCACATTAATTTAGGAGAGCATTTACAAATGTAGTTACACTGCAGAGATTTCTACAATTTCAGTAGAAAAACTGCCTGGCCCACACAAAGAAAAGAGGATGAAAAGCTGCTAGGTACCATACTTCATTACCTTTTCATCAAGGGCTTTGTGGTGCTCAAATAAGGATTTTAGTGCTTTGAGAACTTCTACTTCACTAGAAACTCCTGCTGGAGACTGAGCTTGCCTCTTCACAACAGTCATCCTGAGGGATCGCTCATGCCTGGAGACAAGACACTCCAAATGTTCCAGTAATAGCTAAAGCAAAAGGAAAAAAAAAAGAAAGGAATAATGTTTATTCCTGTTCTGTACAGCTACAGAAAACTTTGCTTCCTAGAACATTAAATGTAGAGTTCTAAACTTCAAATTTCAGAGACAAAGGATATTGTATCAAGCGTAAGGACTCGTTTTTAACATTTCAGCTGTATTAGCAGTGTAAGCTGCTCAAACAGATCACCACAACCTGCCCACTCTGCTCCTCCGATCCCAGAGCTGCAGGATTACAAAACTTTAACAAGAAATCTGGATGGCAGATAGCAGTGCAGTCTTACAAGCTTTTCCTGATTCTGCACAGCAGCATTTGGAGCTGTGCACAAGCTGCCAAACCCTCTTGATCAGCACACACACACTTGCACTTCCATGGGGATTCATGTACAAGTATCAGGGGAAAAAATACTTTTAGCTTTTCAAATTCAACACTTGTTTTCCTCCCTGTAGCTGGATGCTTTAACAGTGGTGAGCTTGGAGAAGACAAGTAACTAACCCTCGTGTTATTCCTTTCTGCTTTCAATTCAGCAATTTCTTCTTCCCTTTCAAGCAGCTGCTCCCTGCATACATTCAGCTCTTTTGTGAGCGCTGCAAATTCCTGGAACAAACCAGACAGAAACATAAGCACATCAAATATCAGGACACAGTGAGAGTGGATTCATATGAACACTTGACAGTTCCTTGAAGCATTAATTTCAGATGTGCAAAGCCAATACAACTGTATAGTCATGCTAAGCCAGCTTCAGTTCAAACATTTAAAACCTTTATGCTGCCAACTGTAAAGACAAACTATGTTTGACCAGGACTTTGAAAACTTGTTTGTGTCTCAAGGCAATTATATGAGTTGGGGTTTCCCTGGTAAGCAAAAGGAAAAACGTATTTGTAACACACTTTGTTATGGTTTCAAAGAGTTGTTAGTTTTGTGTGTTTTCATTTGTTGTTTTTTTTAACAACTGCTGAGAGAGACATGAAAAAACAGAGTACTAAGCACAGCAAAATAAGGAAACCAACAAACATGACATATTTCAAGTCAGTATTTAATTGTGAGCAACAATGAATAATCCTGACATGTACCAGATTACAGCTAAATACAGGAATTTCATTCAAGCCTTCCTTCCAATCTCACAAAAGGGAAAGAAGCAGCCCTTTCCCTACAGTCCCACTAGAAATCTCTGAGCATTAGAATCAGAATTTTCTGAAAGCTGAGCCCAAGTGCTCAAAGCCCTTACAAGGCTCACTCTTCCAATTCAATAAAGATTTCATCAAACAAAACCCAACCAAAGTGAAATAGTACAGAGTGAAGTGTCAACAAGGAACAGGAGCGGAGCTAACTCACATCACTCACTGCAGTGAACACAGCCAATATGAAAGAATATCCTCCAACAGTGGAGCTAACTCACATCACTCACTGCATGCTTATTACTGCAGTGAACACAGCCAATATGAAAGAATATCCTCCAACAGTCAGGGGTTTCTGTCAGGAAATGATTATACTAGTATCTGCAAGAGCCACTGCAGCCTGAACCATTTCCCCTCTCTATCAACAGCCTCACTAAAAATAAAATCATATAAAACTTAACTGAATAGAAAAGACATTTAAATGTTCTATTAACTCAGGGAGCACACTCTGAATAGAACAAAAGTCACAACTATACACCACACTTAGAAGCAAACACAAAGCATAACCAAACCTACCCCGGAAAAATTTAAATTCTAATCTGAACTGCATTGGAAATGAGGATTGACAGTGTGAATGTGAACAAGTCCATCCTTAGAAAAGAGCCTTGCAAGAAAGCAACCCTCATGTCTTGTCAATGCAACTTATAATGTGAAAATAAATATGCTTCAGTCACTCCAGTGGCCAGTGAACACACCGGGAGCTTTTAGATAAGAAAACATCAAAATGCTAGTAACTAACACTCCTTTCTGTTCTCCAAAATAAGGAAAATACTCATAAACAAGAGCCTTGCCTAATAAACCATGGATTTGTACAGCTGAGCTGGTGATTAGCAGGACAAGGTGAATACAAATAGCCGGCTAAGTGGAAACACAATTGTTGCTTCTCTACTTTTTCCAAACTCTGCAAGACACACTGCTTATCAGCCAGCAGCTGCATATCAAGTGAAAGCTTAAGATGGAGCTGTTCTGCAGCAAAATTCAAAATTACAGAATGCACATGCTTAAAAACAAAAGGTCACATCAACCAATTATACTAAGCACATCTGCAAATTCTAACATGCAGCTAAAATAAGGAGACACGGTCAAAAGACACTGCATTTTCCAATATTCATTTGGTAAACCTTATTCTAAAATACACACGTGACTGAAAAGACAAAAAATACATTGCACAATAGACACCTGGAGTGAACTCTGGAATTAACAACGTATCAAGCTTTCAAAAGCTGCTGTGAAAAAGACAGCAATATGACCACCACCACCAATGCAGAATTCATCCCTATAATCCCTCTTCCTAAATCAAATCCTGCTCATTGGAAAAAAGTTTCACTCCCCCCACTTAAGCAGCAAAAAACTGCAAAACATCTTCATTTTTTTCCTTTCTCAACTGCTAAATTATTTCATTTCTCTAACACAATAATTACATTCATAGAAGTATTTCACTGCAGTATTTCATTTACATTCTTAAAAAAAAAAAAAAAAAAAAGGCCCATTATTTCCAAAATAGCCAGGAAATACTTCTGAAACAACCTGGTCTGTAAATACAGCTACCAGAACTTTTACATACACAAAACAAGTTACAAAAGGGTCCTGAGTGCAAGGTAAACCAAGAGAGGAAAAACCTACTTCAAGCTTCACTGGAGCTGACAGAAATATTGACTCTACCATGAGCTTTCCCAGCAGAACGCTCCTTCACATCCAAGCTTTTCCTGCACCTTCAACATCCCACCTGTGGGAGCTTCCAAGACTCCCAGGGAATTGGCAACACACTCCCCTTTTGCTCTCACATGAGCTCAGGTAAACCAGAAACCAAAGCTGCCATTTTTCAAGGGCAGCCCTCACTTATCTTTACAGATTAGGTAATTATGTACTATTGAGAAGAGCTTGGTATGAACTTACTTTCTTGGTGTATTTCCCCTTTCAAATTAATAATAAGAAGAGTAATTTTTAAAACCCTGAAAATGCCAACATCAACATTGAATATTTCCCCTTTAAAATTAATAATAATATAAGAAGAGTAATTTTTAAAACCCTGAAAATGCCAACATCAACATTGAGAAACATCAATATTGCCCAATTCTCGAGATTACACTGGCCTGAAGTTTTATATTCTTCCTGCCTCTATCTCAAGTCTTGAGAACAGGATCAAGAGCACAGCAAGGACTACCAGACACTGTCTCACCATCCTTTTTCAACTTCAAATCACTGCATAGCATCAACATATAGATATCTTTTATCTGTATGAGCTTCCCCACCTAAAAACCAGCTGTGTATTTGAAAGGAAGGCTATTCACTCTTCAGATGGTTACAGGACACAGAGTTCCAGTCCATTGCATACTGCAGTGTAAATATAAATTGTGGCACAAATAGATCCCAATTGTGACATGAACCATCACACTGTCAGGTGACCCAGAGCAAGAGTGCACACAGGAATTTATATTGCTGCTGCATAAACACACTGACAGGGATTGCTGGCATTGCATAACACATCCATTGCTGTTTGTTTTGACATAATAGAGTTGCTTTGAGTCCCGTGAGCTGCCTAGGAAAGAACATTTGAATGTCCTCAGTTTCAGCTGACACTGCCAAAAGACATGTCCTTTCTAGTTTTAGTACCTTCAATGGGAGACAATTTGAGATTTCCTTAAGCAGTTCAAAAGTAGAGAAACTATTTGCAGCTATATAATCTCAAAAAAATTTGTGTTGTCTCAATTTCTTCCTTGGCATTAGATGAACGTACAGAAAGAATTAAAAGAAAAAGGAAAGAATCCTGAGAAACTTTCCCACTTGTCCACAAAACTGTGTCACTTTTCTGTAATTAAGAAGACTGAGAGCAACAGAATGAAATTCTGCTCAGTTTCTGGCTGCCATCAAAATAATAAATACACAGGGCTGGGGATTGACAAGAATGGAACTCACAATAAGCACTTCAGAGCACTCACACGAATTGGTGGGAGATTGCTGAATTTACCAGGGAAATACTCCCTGCTCATTAGAACATTCTGGCAAACACCCCTACTCTACACTAAATTGAAATGTTTACTGAAAAAAGTAACTTTCTGACCTAAATGAATCATTCCAAACACATCACTCTTGCTGCCTGAAATAAATATTCTCAACGAAAAGTCACACTGAGCAAGTAAGTTGGTTCTTGTTCAGTAATACATTTTCTGGGATTTTTTTTGGTTCCCAAGTGCCAGGATTTTTTAAAGCAATAGCATTTCTTCTACCTCAACCTTCAGAGCTGACCTTCAGCCTTCAGTATTTAGATGCCACAAGGTAAACATCCTTCCAAAAGCTGGATCCATTAGTGCTGAGCTGTCGAGCCTGGCAGAGCTGACACACTTGGGAACTCCAAGATCCCAATCCAGGAACATTCCAGCTTTCAGAGAACAGGTTCCCTTCATGTTCATTATAAACATAATTCATAGGTCTCACAGACAAATAAATGCTACCTGACAGGAACAGTATTTAACCTAGGGGAAACACTTGAAAGAAACAGGGGTAATTCCTGAAAGTCTGTTAATAGAAGTTGTGTATTAGGGATGCTCTACAAATAACTAAATTTGTTTGGAATTTGATCATGCAAAAAAACCCCTTATTCCACAAAAAAATGCAACACCACTCAAGTGCACAAATAACCATAAATTACAAGCTACCACATGGCCAGAAAATTTATATAAATTATGAAAATATATGTAATAAAAAATAGAAACCTTTTAAATCCATCAAATATTATTAAATACTGTAAAGTAGTAACTCCAGGCAACAGAAGATGAAGTTGTGACTGTTACATCTTTAGGAACATCTCTGACCAAATATATGATTGGAATTTATCTGCTTAATCAACAAGTGATATTTTGGTTTACTATTATCATTCTGGTCTGCAGACTGAACATCAAGCAAGCCACTCACAAATCTGAGCAGCTGAAGAGAGCAGGAAAAGAACAGCTGGGGGAAGTGCAGAACATCAGGGGTGCAAACCAATGGGATCTGAGATAAGTTTCTGTCATGGTGTTTGTACTACATATAAACCACAGTTATTCCAAATAATGACTGCAGGGAAATGGCAGATATACAGTGTTAAAAAAAATTAAAAAAAAAAAAAAAAAACAAAAAAAGCAAAGAAAATTTAAATGTCTAGGTCTCCTTCTAGGGTATTTCACTTCATTTTAAATCCAAGGGGTTTAGGTAGCACACAGTGACCAAGAGCCCAAATATATTTCAAAGTTCCTAGCAAGCAAATTTTCATACCTATAAAGTCATTGGTTTTGAGTTCTTTCAGGCTAAGAATTAGAACTATGAAATTACGAAGCAGTTCAAGGATATTGAGAGTTAAAACTGAGGAAAACTGACTTGTTTTCACCATTAAATCCAACTTTGGAAAAAACACAGTCACACACCAACACAGATTATGCTTTG